ACTGGGATGAGGCTTTGGTCTAGTTTCTAAAGGCCAACTATCACCCACAAGGGCCATATAGTCCCTAGTCTCACTCATCTGCGTAACTTTCGACCTCATCGAGGGATGACCCACTGAACCCTCATCATTTATCTCCATGCCCAAGCACCTTGGGTTTTCCAACTCCACTAACCTAGCATGTCGAGCCAAGTTTGAGTATCGACAAATAGTATTTACCCAGTATGGTCCACAAGAGGACCACACGCCTACTGAGTTTATGTTTCACTATATAAAATGTTTATACAAGCTCTCATAAGGCCTTTAATGGCCACATAAACCCACATAAACCCAACATGATAAGGATTTTAGCCCTCTTCCTCTCCAACCAACTATCACCCATAGGGGTCGCATCTAGTCCCCTAGCTAACTGCCTTAGACAGAACTTGGACTCATCATGGGATAACCCCATATCGAAACTCTTATCGGTTGTGCTCAAATTCCTAGGGCTACGAGTTTTAGACACCACCTTGAGCTATAGCTAGTCAAAGCTCAGGTGAGTCTCCACATTAATAATGCCTCACAGTCCACCCTGGACCATGCCATAAAGTCCATCCAGACCATGCTCCCATTGAAACTATCACATCACTATAGTTATAGTTTTATATGCTCTAATAAAATCTTTAAATGGTCACATAACCCCAACATACGGGCCTAACTGCATCTTGGTTCAATCAATGGACATCAGGTTTAATCCTAAGCTAACCTAGCATAGTATTAGTCTAAGAAACCAGCACAGAAAAATCGTTTAAACTAATTTTGACCTAGTTTTATAGGTAGGTCAGGATCAAGATAGGTTTCCCAATTAAGAAAAATTTGAATGGTTGTTAGGTTTAATGTCTTCCACATAAGTCTGGGTCTTACTATTATGGGCTGCTCTTGGGCCTGAGGATTATGATGGGTCCTCAACTTAAGGCTAGCAGGTCCCAATTCCCTATCTCCTAGGAGGAAGGTGCCCCTCATGGCTTTAATGCATGTTTTGGGGGTTTTTGAAAATTGAAATATTCTTTTTAGAGCAAAGCCTCAACATGTGGGTCCAATTTATGTATAAAAGAGCACTCAGCGGTGGACGTAAATCGATATGGCAAACAAGCCACTTTCATACAAAAGAACTATATATGTTAGAAAGTGAATTTTGAGATAAGTTTTAAACTACAAAATTAAGGGTAAGCAAATCAATAAAACTTCGAAGAGTAGATACAATAGAACACAAAAACGAGGGAAGCAGGAAGCACCAGTTAGTGGGTAGTAGGCCCCAGAAGGTTTATCAGGGGTCTTTCTTAATAACTGTGCATAGTGTGGTGTAGAAAGATGGATCTGGTTGCCACACTCTGTGGCATAGAAGACTTCCAGACCAGCCAAGGTTTGGAGTGCGTTGATGTGTCTCTTGGTTTCCCAAATGTTCTTTGGAGGTTGAGGTGTCTCTTGGTTTCTCAAATGTTCTTTGGAGGGTCTCTAGTTTTGAATCATGGGAGGGTCTCTAGTTTTGAAACATTGGACGTTCCAGAGATGATTTTGATGTGATTTTAACCGAACTTCACACTTAACCAAAGCACGACTAGCCCCGTGGTGGGTACTAAATAATTTATATATATTTCGAGATCTACTAGACTAATCAAAGTTCAATGTGTCTCAAAATTTGTCCAAACTTAATATTTAAAAGTCAAAAGAGGTGGGTCCCATCAAATTTAGATCTACAAAGAAATCAGCCTTAAAAGAACCTATTATTTATATATCTGCAGTCGATCCGACTTAAATGATGTGAAATCTGAAAGAAACAAAAACAAAACAGAAGAGAAAAAAAAAACGGAAACAAGCGATGGGGGTATACTAAAATAACAAAATAGAAAATCAAAATACTAAGTAAACTAAGGAAACTAAGTAAAATGAATAAGAGAAACGAAATGAAAGTACAATAATAGATCTACTAAGAAAATAAGAGTAAATAAAAAATAACCAAGGAAAACATTATAGCAAATTAAATAAATAAAAAAAAGTACATAAAGAAAGAAAGAACATGGTAGTCGGGCCTTTAGGCCCGGCATCTAGAGTTGGGCCTAGACTAGACGATGAAGATGAAGTCTTTACTCTTTGATCTTCAAAATTAACGATTAGGAATGGTTGATTGCACTCTGGAGAAGAGAGGGATGTGTAGAAATTCTACATCTTGGGCTTTTAATGAAAGAAAATTTTCGTATAGCATCATAATTCCTCATATTATTTCATGGTAGACCCTCTTTCCATTTTTCTTTCAAGCGGCATAAGGAAATCCCTAAGGATTTTACCGTAACCCACACCTCTTATCTCCCTCTTTTATTGACTTTTGACTATAAAACTTAACCCCAACAAATCTTTTTATACCATTTCATCCAAAAAACATTTTTTAACCATCTTTTTCCCTTTCCACCCATAAAAACGTTTTTGGGTTGAAATAGTATAAAAATATTTGTTGGGGTTAATTTTTATGATTAAAAATCAATAAAAGAGGGAGATAAGAGATGAAGAAAGTCAATAAAAGAGGGAGATTAGAGATGAGGGGGTATAGTGAAATATTAGGGGTTTTCCTATGTCCCTTGAAAGAAAAACGGAAAGAGGGTCTATCATGAAATAATAGGAGGAATTAGGGTTCTATACAAAATTTTCCTTTTAATGAATGAAAATAATAAATTTTGATATCTAAATATGGTTGGATTAGGGACCTAAAAGTAGGGTTTAAAGGCCAACATCTAGGGTTTGAACGTTGCAAGATTTCTATGGATGGCGATTAAGGGTTTTTATTTGCATTAAGGTCTTTTGAAATGGTTGGGAGAAGTTGTTTTATTGGCAGAATATACCAAAAAATAGGAAGGTAGCGATATGAAGTGAATCAATGGATGACATGTGAACTGTGCCACGCTACGCGGTGCACAATTTCTCTCTCTTGAGCCCCATAATGCCATGCTAACATATTTCCCCTCTGTTCTTTTACAAGATTGCTTAAGAGATCGTATTAAGTCCAATGCTGATTGTCTTTGACATTTGATTGAAGCTTGAATATTTCACTTCATTGAACGAATACAAACAGAATAAATAGAGTTACAAAAGAGAGGATTGACTTAGTCGATCCTAGAGAAAAAGATGAAATCAAATTTGTTACAACCAAATGAGGAATTCAAAATTCAAAATTCAAAATTCAAATGAGGATTTCATAATTCAAATTGTAATACTCCCCCTCAAGTTGGTGTGTGTAGATCGATAACACCCAACTTGTATTGTAGGTAAGTGAACTGCTCTTTGCTAAGTGGTTTGGTGAATATATCGACCCTCTGGTTATTAGTTCGGAGGTATTAACTGCGAATTACCCCGACTTGCAACCTTTCACGAACAACATGACAATCCAATTCGATATGCTTTGTGCGTTCATAAAAGACGAGATTAGATGCTATGTGTAATGCAGCCTGATTATCACAGTATAGTAGCATGGGCTGTGAGTGGGTAATGCCCAAGTCGTGAAGAAGGTATTTAAGCCAAACTAGCTCAGTTAAATCACCATGGAGAAAAGCATTATTGACGTTCAACAGAAAAAGGGGCCATCCCTTTGTGGCAGCAATGGCAAGTAAACATCGAAATGTGACTAGCTTGGCTACAGGGGCAAAGGTCTTGTTGTAATCGATGCCTTCGGTTTGGGTGTATCCCTTAACTACAAGTCGCGCTTTGTAGCACTCTACACTTCCATCAGCATTGTACTTAATTTTGTAGACCCATTTGTACCCTATAACATGCTTTTTGGGTGGCAAGGGAGTAACAATCCAAGTATGATTTTCCTCTAGTGCTTTGATCTCATCAGTCATGGCATCCCCCCAACGAGCATCCTTAATGGCAGTAGAAAAACTTTCAAGTTCATGATTAGAGGATATGGAAGCAAGGAAAGCTCGATGAGTAGGGGAAAAATTGTTGTAGGAAACATAGTGAACCATTGGGTACCTGTGTCAAAACCAGCAGATGAAGGGTGATGGTCCGTAGGTGAGGAGGCAACATGGGAGCACTTGTAATCAGCAAGCCATCTCGGAGGTCGATGTACATGTGTAGATTGGCATGAGAATAGTGGCGGTGGTGTGTTGATAGAGGCAACGGAATCCGTAGCAGTTGCTTCAATGGTGGTTAATGGCAGATCCGTGATGGTATACGATGGTAGAGGCTCAATGGGCACAAGTGGTGTGTTTAGGACTGTTATAGAATCCACATCCTTGAAGATGGGGATAGGAATAGATGAACTTGGAATATCAATATTTGTAGTGGTTTGAGTGGATAGGAAAGGGAATTTGCATGGAAAGAGACATCCCTGCTGACAAAGAATTTTTGTTCTTCAAGATCAAAAACTTTGTATCATTTCTGTCCATATGGATAACCAGTAAACACACATTTGCGTGCACAAGGGGTAAACTTGTCATGTGATTTGTTGTGAGCATAACACAAACAGACGAACACGCGTAGGCGTTGGTAGGTGGTTTTGACATTGAACAAGGTTTCATGAGGTGTTTTGCCTTGTAGAACAGGATAAGGCAACCGGTTAATTAGGTAAGTGGCTGCAAAGACACATTCTCCCCATAATTTAATAGGTAAACTAGCTTGAAAACGCAGAGCCCAAGCTTTTTCAAGGAGATCCATGTGTTTGTGTTCAACCACTCCATTTTGTTGGGGTGCATTGACGCAGGTCCTTCGGTGCAGAATTCCTTTCTCATTCAAAAAATTATGCATTTGATGACAGAGGAATTCTATCCCATTGTCGGATCTCAGGGTTTTGATTGTTAAGTTAAATTGGTTTTTTTATCATAGCACAAAAATAAATATAGGAGAATGTTTCACTCTTGAATTTCATCAAAAAAAACCACATGCAACGGCGAAAGTCATCTAAGATAGTAAAAAAATATCGTGCACCAGTGTGTGTTGGAGTGGTGTATACTCCCCAAATATCACAATGAATAAGTTCAAAATGAATAGTAGTTCTATCAATGCTAAGAGGAAAAGGTACTCTAGTTTTCTTTGCAACATGACAAATTGCACAAGGACAACAATTATTTTTAGAGAAAGAAATAGAAAGTTCGTTGGACAAATTTTTTAAACGCTGGTTGGATGGATGTCCGAGTCAGTTGTGCCAAAGGTGGACCGAGGACACTTGATGGCAGAAATGCTTTATTCTTGGGTTCTTGTAAAAATACAGTCCGTCACGTTCCTCACCCAGACGAATCACCTTCTTCGTTGCTAGGTCCTGAAACACACAGAAATTTGGAAAGAAAATGGCAGCACAATTATGGGTTTTGGTTAGTTTGCTAACATAAAGTAGATTTAAATCAAAGCTAGCAATACATAAGACATCTTTTAGATACAGTGAAGAAGAAATAGAGCAATTTCCTTTGTGTGAAACACAAACAACTTCACCATTAGGGAGATGGACAGATTGAGTGTGATGTAAATTGGTTTTAGGTTCTAAAAAATTTGAAGGAGATGCCATGTGATTGGAAGCTCTAGTGTCTATGATCCATGCGGATGACATAGAGGGCAAAGAGACACAAGATATTGTCATACCTTCAACGTTAGTTGAAGATAAGCTATGATCAGCAGTGAGTAGAGACAGAAGTTGAAAGTGTTGTTCCGGGGAAAGGTGCACAACAATGGAATTGTCGGCAGGTTTGCTAGTTTCCTTTGCTGAAATTGTTGGCAGCAGCAGCACAACTTGCGGCATTGGGTACGAATGTGACAAAAAAAACCACAATGGTCACAACGACCAAAAAAACCACAATGGTCACAGCGTGGTCTATCGCGGCCACGTCCTCCTTTGCCGTTGCCACGTCCCTTGAAGTGACTGCCATAAGTACCACGTCCATGACTACCTCCACTGACATTGGAAGCAACCATAGCAGTACCTTCTAAGGGCTGTGTTAAACGTTGTTGAACGCTATGTTGTCTCTCATCTTGAGAAATCAAAGCGTAGATTTTGCTTATGAATGGTAAGGGGTCCATAGTGAGAATATGGCTTCTCACAGTGGAATAGGTTTCATTTAACCCTATGAGGAACTGAAATACCCACTCATTTTGTCTTATCTGATAGTTGATAGCACCACAAGAGCACTTGGGATAAGGTGTTAGAGAATCCAACTCATTCCAATACCCCTTGAGCATGGTGTAATATTGTAGGATAGAGTGTTGGTCCTGAACAAGATTGGAAATATCACATGTAATGTGATAGATTTGGGCAGCATTACCTTGTGAAAAACACCATGCTTCGTCGCTTTGTCGAAGTAGATGATGTTGTTCGTGAGGTCTTTACAAACATCGTTCCAAACCCAAGAGAGGACCGTTGTGCTACAGCGACTCCAAGAGAGAAAAGAAGGGGAATTCTCCTCTGCTTGAACAAGGGTTCCATTGATGAAACCGAACTTGTGTTTGGCCTTGAGGGCTGTAAGCATAGCCCTCTTCTATATCGGATAGTTTTCTCCAGTGAGTTGTTGGGAAACCAACATCATCCCTGGATTATTCGAATGATGAAGATAGAAATGAGAGGAAGAGGAGATCGGCCTTTCATAGCTCCCTTCAGAAATGGTCTTGTATCCACCTTCTGTCGACATGACTGTGAGATAAAAGAAAGCTCCCAACTGCAACTCAGCATATGATGATGATGGGACTGTCGCGAGAGTTAGTCAACAGGCGGAGAAGATGCCTGCCATTGCGGTTAAGAGTGCCACAACTAAGAATAGGGACCCGTGTCAGTGAAGAGAGAGAGAGAGAGAGAGAGAGAGAGAAAGATAAGCACGCAGAGAGGGTTGGGTGGTGGCTGTCTTGAAAAATAGAGGTGGGGTGGTCCAAAGAAAGGGAAAAAAAATCAGATATTGTTGGCTTATATAGATCTCGTTGGTGTATCAAACACGAATGGCGCAAAGAGAAGAGGATAAGCAGACATAGTGGTTGAGGTGGTAGATGACGTTGGACGAAGGCGATGCTTAGCAAGAGCGCCGCACCATGGACGAATCAAGACAAGGGCCCGAGCCCTAACCTTCTAAAGTAACCTTCCAAAACTGAGAAGCACTGCTTCTTGGCTCCACCCACCGCCTTACGATGGCCACTTTCTCTCTCTAAATGCTTTTAGTGGATTTTCTTTGGCTCACCGGCATCGGGGCACAATCTGTGCCATTTTGCATCCAATGAGAAAAGCCATGAAGTAAAACAAAGGTTAGAGAGTGAAAGAGAGGGCTGAGGCAATGACGGCTATAGTTGGAATCCAGCCAAATAAGTAAACCAAAGGTTAGAGAGAGAAAGAGAGGGCTGAGGCAATGGCGGCTACAGCCAGAATCTGGCCAAATATTTTGCCCTTTCTTTGAAGAATGATGTTACATTAGGTCGATGTGGTGGTGTTGCAGCAGCAAAAACAAGCAAAAAAGAAACACAGTGTGCAAGTGTTACTGCAACTTGAGTCTCTGTTGTTTCTCTCACATAAGCTGGGGTTGCTTATATAGATAACGTGGTGTGCATCTACAAGAGCATGAAAGGGACTTTTGGGCTCAACAAGTTTACACTACAAAGTGGGAGATGGGAGGATGAATCAAGAGAAGGCGACCATTAGAGAAAACTCAGCCCACTGCTGTTGAATCACAACCACCAGTGACTCTTAGTGATTCCTCCTGTGTGCTCTGATACCATGTGAAATTTGGTTGAAGCTTGAATATTTCACTTACTTCATTGAACGAATACAAACAGAATAAATAGAGTTACATAAGAGTGAATTGACTTAGTCGATCCTAGAGAAAAGGATGAAATCAAATATGTTACAGCCAAATGAGGAATTCAAAATTCAAATGAGGATTTCATAATTCAAATCGTAATATTGTCTGATCGAATTTGGACACTTCCTTAAGGTCACAGTCCACCATTTCTTATTTTCTTGTTAGATAAACTACTTATTATGGGACACTAGTTTCGTAACTACGTGATTTGAGAATACTGACCTAACAACCTTAGGAATTGAGAATATTTGGCTTCCTAAAATGAGATATTGAAAATATTTGGAATATCGGGGGGATTATTTGAAGGATATTTTGTGTCTTGCTTAGGGTATCTAGAATGTTTAAAGAACATTAGTCTTTTAACATGCAATATTTAGGATCTATGGCATATTCAAGTAATATTCTGAGTTGGACTATGGTTTGGGTGTGTACCATGGCTGAGCAAGTATAGTGTCCTAGGGTAGTGTGCTTTAGGATTTTAGAATTCAAAGATAAAAATAAATTCAGTGGGAGTGTCTACAGTTACACTTCTTTGGCATTCCATGTCTTTCGAGGGATAGGAGAGTGACAAAGAACTAGACATCAGATACTGCCATAAACTTGATACTAGAAAGAATTAGAACCAATGATCAGAGAGTGGTCATTTGATATGGTCCATCAACACATTGACTGCCATCCAGTGTAGGAAAAATCTAACCAAAATGGTTAACTGAACATGGGGCCAGAAGTAGTTCAACCAGCCTAACTGGTAAGTCGGCCTAACCTGGCAAGTCTAGGGCGGTAAAAAAAGTGTTAAAAAAATAGCAAAATATAATAAAAAAGCTAATAAAATATGAAAAGTATATTTAAATCATGATTAAACAAAGCACATCCAAATAAAGTTAAAAATTAATGAAAAAATGGATTTTAAAGAATAGATTTGTGCCTAGGGGTATTTTTTAAAAATTTCAAAAAAGACGGGAACATGTAAAAATAAGTATTAATGGTCAAAACAACTTCCAATCTTTTCCAAAATGATGAAAAATGTTAAAAAATACATTACAAATGAAGTCTCTTATTTTTTATGATTATATAAATATATTTTTTAATTATATTTTAAAATACCCATTCGGTGCACCAAAATCAGCCGAAACAGAAACCAACAAGTGGCTGGTTCTAATCTAACTGAGTCTAACCAAACGGTTAGAATTTGAATCGCCCGATTTTTCCTACAATGATGCCAATCTCAACTTGTTATCCAAGTCCAAGTCTGAGCATTCTCTAGAATGGTTTATGTCATTATTTCTAAGTTTTAATGTCTTGAATGAATAAAGTGAGTTTGAATTTATCTTAAAATTCCTCAACTCTTTTATATCTAAGGCTTCCTAATGACTCAAAGGTTTAAAGGTTCGAGGGAGTTGGTTTACCTGAAGTTTTGAAGGGAGACTTTGCTTAGGAAAGTTTTAAGAAGGTTTACGGGTACTTGAAGGTTTTGAAGGCTTTTCTTCCCCAATGCGCTTTCAATCATCAGCACCAACCAATCTTGGATCTTGAATTTAGGCTTTGGATGGCAGGATGGTGTCATTATTTTTTTAGGCTGATCCAACTTATTCATTTTTTTTTTCCATTTTTTTTTAAAACAGTAGTAGAAAATTTTGAAAAATAAGGAGTAGTTTTAGAAACGGATATTGATGTCTGGTTACGAATTTAACTAAAGAAACTAAACTTTTTTTAGATGACAAACACTTAATTGCGAAAGCATCCAAACAAGAATTGTTCTTGTATCTGAGTCTGAAAATTTAAAATTAATAAATCCAAAATTAAGAAATTAGGAACTAAGGAACTGAAATTAAGAAATTAAAATTGAGAAAGAAGAAATTAAAAGTTAAGAAATTCAAAAATTAAGAAGATGAAATTAAGAAATTTGAAAAGTGAGGGACTTTTGAACAAAGCTTTAGTCAATAGTTTAAACTAATGCAACTATGGAGCCTTCTAAATAGTTTATCGTCATGCCAGGATGGATGTAAGACCTTGCCACTATGGGACGTATTCTAAAATTATTTCCTTTTTTGAAAAATCTGATATTTGTTTTTTCTCAAGGACAATTTGCCACATAAAAATCTTATTCCTAGAATCTGTACTGTGGAAAACATTTTGATGCCGTCATATTGGGTCTTAATGTAATGACTGATTAATTGATCTCTGATGAGTGTGCTAACCTTGGCGCCAAGGACTTTTGAGACGAGGAATCATCGATCACTCATCTTTAGAATAGCTCCTCGAGGTTTTCGACCAAACCATGTCTTGGAGATTGCAAGAGATTGCCTTTGATGTTCAGGGGCTCTTCATACTTCCAATTTCAATTCTCCCCCAACCATCCCTTCAAAGTTCAGACAGTCGAGATCCTTCAGATTTACTTGGTGAGATCATTTCCCACATTCTGTCGAACTAATGTCTATAATTGATTTTGAATGTGAGTGCCAATGTTGACTCAATTATTTTGGACGTCTGGATTGATTTATTGATTTGGAAAACGAGGATATCTTCTGAACTTAAAGGGACTTCGAACCGGTGCCATCTTTGAAGACTTTATTTTGGTTGACTTTGATTTGCTTGGATGTTTTTTTAAACTTGAAAAACTTTTGAACCAATACTAACTCTAAAAACTTTTGTGGATGTCACTCTTTTTCCCTCTTTTTTCTTTTTCATTTTCACATTGCTCGTGCCCGGGAATACTTTCGGATGTTCAGCCTAACAAAAGTTGTTTTTTTTTTTTTTATCACTTCTGGCATGACTTGGCGTTGAGATTTTACCCTCAAGGATTTGTGCCGGTAAATTGGGCCTTTTTTGTGATCTTGTCCCCTTCTTGGAAATGAGCACTACTTATTGTGGCACGTTGTCCTAAGATCAAGTAAATAGTTTCGACATTCCTTCTGGAAGCCGTAGTTTCAGTTATACTGGGTCGCCTTACACTTGGGTTAGTATGCGTATTTTCTTAACAATGGTCGGTGAACTCCTATTGGACTTGCTTTGGAATGATCGCTCTTAGTTTCTTGGTCCTTCAATCCCTCGCTTGGTCTATGAAATTCATTAAAGTTTGAACTTTTAAAAGGTGTTAGATACGCTCAAGCATCTATTAGGCATGTTTTAAAATTAATTTTTTTTTAAAAAAAATAAAACTTAATGACAGTGGTTTGTATAAGGTTGCAACCTAGCGCCCTCAAATTTTATTATAAGATATAATTTTGGCGTAAAAAATTCTTAGGATGGCCTTATAATCTATTTTCATATCTAATTGTGAATTTTTAAACCTAAAAAATGTTTCAAATTAAGTAGATCTATAAATACATGAAAATTTTGAAAATGGATGGTCAAGATAATGTATTGCAAGATGCACTATTTTTAGGACTTGAAATTTGTATTTTTTCACATATTCATATATCTTAATGTCAAGATGATCAATTAGAGGATTTTCCAATATCAAACAATATTTTCTAACAGATTTTTGAGGTGCACCTTTGATTCTACATTTTACGGTTGCAACCTTATATAAACTTTTTCCAAACTAAAATTGCCCAGTGTAGGGTGTAAAAGGACTGGTCGTATAAAGATAATTTGGGATGAACCCTCACCCATGGGCAGCCCAATGACCTCATGGTGCTTGTTGGTACTGGGACCAACGATTCTAGAGACAAACATGATCTCAAATTTTGGGGTGCTCCGGCATCCGATTAGCCAAGGCTTTAACTGTGGCTAGAACAACATCACTTGCCATGACTTAGACTAGTGTACAACATTTGAAATGAAATTACAACCACATATAACTTTACATAAGCATCTAAATAATAATTACATCCAACCCAAAATACATGTAAATGACTTCAACTCAGTCCTAACACAACTCACACTCAAATGATAATAGAGATTAAGAAAAATTTACATAGATATGATGCTTAGTAGATAAGACTTACCATTACATTACTCATAAAACAACGAGACAGTTGAATCACATAAACATTAAGTATATGCCAAAACCCAGCTCGACCTCCAAATACAACTCAATTAACCAAATGTGCACAGAGTCTAAAGGCATGGGAAACCAATTCACGTTACTCAAATTACTTACATGATACCTAAGGATTGATGTACATCCCTTGTTATGATCACTCCCGATAGAGCCTAAAACTGGACTAAAGCATGACAACAATTAACCAAGTACAAGGTACAATTTTGGCATAGTGAGGGCTTACAAAAATGGCTTTCTAAGAATGATATTATGCACTCACTTATGAAAATCTCAGGAAATTAAGCTAAAAGGAACTAAGGAAATCTTGATCAAAACTATGCCAAAATGAGAAGCAATAATCTAGGCCAGCAAGCTAATCGATGTAGTACGAAAGGATCAATATAAATCAAGGAAATAAAGATAATTAACTTTCTTTTGAGAGTGATTTACAACAAGAAATAAATAAGAGTGATTTATAGCAAGAAAGAGGGCCAAGGTGGTGAGAAAACGATGCCCTCCAAGACCCCTTCAAGTTAGCCTCAATGGAGCCAAGGCATGGTCTCCCTCTAAGGCTTTCTATCTCTCTCTCTTCTCTCTCTCTCTCTCAAAATAGAAATTTCTTAGGCAATGGAAGAGGGGGTGTACTGCTCTAGAAGGATGGTTGCTCTCTTGAATTAAAGTTCCTTATATAGTGGTTCCTTGTGGTTACCTTTCGTGATTAAACTCGAGCCCTTGTTTTGATCATCCAAAAGGTAAGAGAGGGCCAACAACCCGAGCCAATCAACACCTTCAATAGCTTAGCTATCATATGTAGAGATGAGATTTAACACTTTTGTCACCTCAAAAACCTTACCTTATTTCTGAATTTCCATTCAATTAAATTTCAATTTCAATTGATTTTAAAAACAGTAAGTTTTAAATCCCAAATTCCTCACCATTCAATCTCTTAATCACATGCTTGATGTCAATGATGAAAGATCACTCTATCTAGGGTGTCCCATTTCGTTATTATCATTCTAGCCTTTTTAAACGCATTTTAATTTGAAATAAAGGCTTTTGTACAGTAGGTTTCATTGTCCACATATGCTCTATCATCCAATGTTATCAAATTCGTTTCACTTCAGTCGAAGAGGCCGAAGCCTTCAGATTTTGGGCAAAAACTGAAGAGAAGCGAAGTTGGGTGTCGCTGCTTCGATCAAAGTCGGGCTGCTTCGGCTAGATTGGGGCCGTTTCAGGTCTACTTTGGATATAATTTGGGTTTGCTTCGTCCAACAAAGAAATAACTATATAAAAATATTTTTTTAAAATTTTTTTAAAATTTTTTTTATTTTTTTTAGTTTTTATTTTTTCCCATTATTTTATATATTTTATAAATAAATATCTAATTTATTTATACTATTTTTTTAAAAAAAAATTTGAAATCTCGGCTGAAACACCGAATTACTTCATTTTTCTCACCAACCCGAAAAAGACTCTAAAGCGAATCTCACAACATTAATGTTATCTTTCACACACTTGGTGTTAGCTTCGTGTTCGCTTCACACAAGAGTGCAATCAACTACCAACTCATTAGAAAATGTTGTTAGATCTAAAACACAATTACAACCCACGAATTAGGGAAAATGTCTAGATACTTAATTGCACATATGTGAACACAAACATATACACACGCCAAAAGCACATAAAACATAACTAGACTTATAAGTAGACTTATCTAAGATAATTCTCCCACCAAACACACTAAGAAGCACGTTACCCCATTAAGGCCCCACATCACATCCATGTTATCCATGTGAAGTGAGTTGGCAGCCATCCTGAGTCCGTATGACACACAATGGCCACTTATATGCCACCCCCTATATGTGTGGTCTGTCCTCATGTAGAATTTGGTATTAAACTAGTTTGTTTGGTCTGTCCTCATGTAGAATTTGGTATTAAACTAGTTTGAAGTCTATGAAAAATATTAATAGGAAAATTAAGATCCTATAATTCCTATATTTTTCTTTATATCCATAAACCCTAAAATTTTCCTTACAAGAATTAAGAAACCCTAGATCTTAGATATAAGAACAGCCTAACATATTTCCTTCAATTTTCCGTTGTGAAAGCCCACAAATTTAAGTTCCCACCAAAACATGCCAAAAAAGAGAATGTGTACTAGAAGAATGGCCTCATCTGAGCCTGTAACTAGGGGTTTTAAGTGTGGAAACCCTACAAATTTAAGTTCCCACCAAAACAAGCCTCCCTTTTCCTTTATTTGATTATTTGATTTTCCTAAAAGAGGGCAATCTGTCTAGATGTAAACATATTTTAGTTCTGCAATTTGACCAATTCCCCATAATTTTTATCGATCTCACCTTTAACCCTTTTGTTTACAAATCTAATGAGATTTCATTTGAGGTCTCTTCAGATTTGGCACATAAATACATGGGAAGGCATTAGTTAGATCTCAGCTAGAATCCATGGAGTAACTGTCAACAATAGGAAGTCAATCTAGGCTTTTTGTTACCTCGAGATTGAGATTCAATGTGGTAAAAACAATCCATTCACATGGATAGTTGGATCACTAGACATGATTAAATAATTTATAAGCACTCATTCTAGAAAAATCTAAACGGTGGCTAAGAGTAGTGATGACTTGCATAAGAGGAGGCTGAACTAAGCTCTTAATGATACCAATTATAAGTATCATTAAGGTATTTTATGTGCAAAGGCACTCTTTATAGAGTCACCTATTTGAGTGTACAAGTGAGGTTGCTACCTGTGAGATTGGATTCCTATCTAGAGCACTCAGAAAAATTGGAATATAATCTGAAGGCCTATAACAAGCAAGTAGTATAAAGAGACACCAGAGGGTATGTGCATTGTGCTACTGGTATGTTGGATAAGATCCTTGATTCAAAGTTATATACAACCATAGAGCTTGATGCACTTTGTAGTTCATGCACTAAGTGTATATCAACAAAACTTTTATGGTATGTGAATGACATATGTGTAAATATATATTATTTTGTAATTGCAGAGAAAATTGTTGAATTTTGCTTTATTGTATGTTATTTCAAAGTGTGTGGTTTCTATAAGGTTGCAACCTTAAACAATCCAATTAACGCACACCTTCAAATTTTATCATAATATATAATTTTGGTGTAAAAAATTCTTAGGATTATCTTCAAATCTATTTTCACATCTAATTATAAAATGTAAACTCCAAAAATGGTTAAAATCAAGTAGATCTATAAACATATGAAAATCTTGAAAATAAATGGTCTAGATAATATGTTAAGATGCACTATTTTTGGAAGTTAAAATCTTTTTTTTTTTTTTTTTCATATTCATTGGTCTTGATGTTAAGATGATCAATTAGAGGGTTTTTCAACATTAAATAACATTTTCCGATGTATTTTTT